AAGAAAACAAGAATCGGGGGCAGTTGCAGTTCGGCCAGGCTGGCTATGACATTGCAATAGGAATATATTATAAATACATTATATTACAGATATATAATAAATATAGTGTACTATAAATATATTGTATGTTTTTTATATATATAATAAAATATACAGACATAAATCCCTCCCACAAGCAAATGCCCCCCGGTGGGCTGTGACCCCCTCCAGCTGCTCGCTCTGGTGACAGCCGGCTCTAACCCGTCCCTCTCCTCCCCACTGAGCGCCAGCAGCAAGCCCAAGCTTTCATACATGCAACATTCCAGTCTGGCCTTCCTGGTCCTGGGGCTGGCCAGAGGCATTAGAAATAATTCGATTCCAGCCCTGAGCCAAGGCATCCCTGTGAGGGATGGTTATAAGGGTCCTTTGCAGCCCGTTTGCCCCAGTAAAGGGGGCAGCAGTACCGTAGGTCTTATCATGCATCCAGCTGCAAACAAACCCTCCTGCCAGACCCCAGCTGAGACCCCATTTACAGTAACCCCCTTGGTATCTGCTGTCCCGGGGGCTTCTGCGTTACCCGCCGGCTTTGCCCCTCCAGGTTTCACGCCACTGACACAAAGGCAGTTCGGGAAGCAGCACAGATGCCAGCTGAGACCCCACCAGCAGCCCTCCAGCTGCCCGCCAGCAGCTCATCTTGCGGCTTGACCAAGGGCCAGGTTTTAATCAGCTTGACGCCCCGTTAGTTCTAGATAACGCGAGGCAGGGCTGGCCAGCGATGGAAATACCACGAGGCAGTCAGATGCCAAGGAGATGTCCAAGCCCGCGCTCCCCTCCCGGGCGGCCGAGGCAGTCAGCATCCTTCCCTTGACGGCCAGCTATTCCCCGCGGGAAAACTGGGGGCGGGCAGGGGGACTGCGTGTTTGGCAAGGTCGGGAACACCACCTGCTAGCAGGAGCACTTTGCTCTGCTTCGGGCTGTTGCTTTGCCTTCCAGCCGATGTCAAACCCTCTCCAGCTGGGGAGAGGAGTTCCTGCATGGCCATGACATGGCCCTCCCGGCACATTCAAGAGCAAAAAATTGCTCTTGAGACCTGGAGGCATCAATCAGAACCTTAGTGCAAACTGGTGTCTAGCCACCAATCACTAACCCCTTCCTGGGGGACCTTTTCCTGCCCAAAGTGGTTTAACTGGGACTGTGGCAGCACTGCCCATTAGTCAAGATGATGTTTAAGCTCAGAAATGTGCTTTGCAAAGCTCCCCAAGAAAAGCATCTCTCTGCTCGGCAGAGCTTCTGTTGCTGGGCAAACCATGCTCAATGCAGGAGAAACCCAGCATGCAATCCTGAACTCTCCTCTCCTCAAGCACAGCGGGGGATTTCCATGTCAGCTGGGCATTTTCCCCACACTTCCCATAAACTTTATCTAGAACATGTCGTGCTCAAATCACGGGCTGAGCTATCATCTTCCTTCCTTGCTCTTCAAAAAAAAAAATGCTGATACTGCCCAACGTCAGCCAACAAAGATATGCTCTGGCCCAAGCATTTTTCCCAGCTAAGAGAGACATTTTACCAGCCAGCCAGCTCCTCCACCAAAGGAGTTGGGTATTTTTAGCAAAGGGCAGACCAAAAGAGGCTCAGCATTTGCTGGAAAAGGTACAGGCAATGGTGGCTGCTGTAGTGCAACCCCACTGCCTCCTGCCAGCCTGCCTTGAGAGCTTCGCCTTGGCACGACCCAAGACAACAAAGCTGGTGGCAGCTGAAGCCACCTTTCCCCCCCAAGTATCTCCTTCCCCAGGGACGCAGGCAGAGTGTGGCTGCTGGTTTGTCTTCTGGGCAAAGAGGCTGGTTCAACACGCACAGGCTGGTGTCACGCCCCTCCAGCCTCACCCAGGCTTCTGTTTGGAGATGCTCCCTGGAGTGACCGAAGGCCTTACCTGGTATTTATCTGGGTCAGCTCCTCCAGCTTGAGCAACAAAGAGCCCGGAGCCGTCTTCCAGCTCCATCTCATCCGGGGAGCGCTCGAAGTGGACCCGCTCGTGCTCCTCGCAGTCCAGGTAGAGGATGACTTCGTCCTCCTCCACGCTGATGGCAAAACGCGTCCACTGGTTGAGCAAGGTGGGCACAGTGAAGGTGGCTGCTGCATATGAGCTTGGCGAGCCTGGCTCTGTGTAGTAGAAGATGATCTGCTGCCTGCCTGCCCGCAGCTCCGACAGTTTGACGCCCACATAGATGATGCTCTGCGAGGAGTCCGTGATGGCAAAGAGCACACCGGCCCGGGGGGTGGTGGGCTGGATGTGGAACAGGAGGGAAAAGTCCCGGTAGAAAGGGCTCGGCAGGTGATACCGGGCCACTTGGCCCGTGTTGGCATTGGGGCCAAAGACATAGCCAGGGTTGTTGTCGGGGCCATAAATTTTGAGGATCTCCTCTGGCGGGGGGTCTCCGATCAGCTCCAGGAGGCTGACCTCGGCGCTCAGGTTCTCTGCAAGAGGAAGGGAAAGGGGATGGTCACAATTGGCCCAGCGAGGATGGTCACCCCCCAGCAAGGTGTCTTTGGGGGACACCTCTCGTCCTGCATCCCCCGAACGCCGCTCTTCAGCAGCTCCCTCCGCTCGCCCTCCTCAGAGCCTGGGATTTTCCTTCAGGCTGCGGGTTGGCTGAGACAGCAACACTCCTTGACCTGCTCCCACTGCACAGTTGGGACGCGGCTCCCAAAATTCCACCCATTCCCTGCTGCTGACCCTCCAACCACAGCTGGGACATCCCTGAGACGGGCTAAAACCAAAGGGATGCTGCTGGAACACCAGGATGCTGGACAACCATGGAGCCATGAGGAAGCGTGTTGCATCTGTACCCACTCCACGATCATGTTGACCCACCATGTCATCCCGGGACAAGCTCACGGGGTCACCCCGGCTGGGAATAAATCAGAGCCATCCCCTTGCAACACGCTGGGAACAAGGCTCGAGCCGGCGCGCCCCGTCAGCTTCCCAGATGATCTCAATTTGGAGCTTGCCTCTTTTTCCCTGGCTCTTTTTTCTCAAGACGCTTGGGGAAGCTCTGCTCAGGACGGTCTCTCCTACCCGACACAGCTGAACATCTGGCCGAGGCGAGCCGGCTCGGCGTACGCCAGCTCCTGTTGTTTTGGCAGCAGGCACATCCTCATCGCCCACACACCGGGCGCTGGATTCCTCCTCTCCTATGTCAACCGCTCGGGCGGGTGCCAACTCGATGGGAGCGAGTACGTCGGGTGCTTTTTAACTCTGTGTTTCCCGGGAGTGAGGACACCCAGTCACCCCAGATCCAACACAGCTGAGGGCTCCGCACCGGGAACAGATGCTCAGTGCTGATTTTGGCCCCAGCCTGAGTCAGGAGCAGGAGCTGAGACAATGCAATGTCCCCAACTCCATCTTTCACGTGAGCAATGGGGGGGTATCAGAGGTGTGCTGAGCCCAGGAGGACCAGCCAGGAACCTCCACCCTGCTCTGGAGCCAGGCATCGCCCTCCAGAGCTCTTAAAAAAAAAAATTGAAGAGGAGAAAAAGAAAGACGAAGAAATCGGCCCAGCCTTGCCCAGCCTGGAAGGAAAACACGTCTCTTGGGATGGTGGGAGGAGATGAAAACCTGCATGCCTCTTCCAAAGCCTGGGGGTACCTGTGGATATGAGGCATCCCCAGCCTCCCCCAAACTGCTGAGCCCCAATGCCAGCACCAGCCACGTGGCGGGGACCCAGGCAGCGGGGATGTTAGAAATGCCACCAATTAGAGGTGGGAATGAGTTTTCTCACTGCCAGACCCCAGAACCACTGATCCTCTCTTGAGCTTGCTGCTCTGAAACTAGTCGGTGCCCACCCCGCTCCCCCAAGCTCCCACTCCCTCCCAAGCTTGGTACCCCAAAATTGAGCACCTGGCTGGGAGCAAACCTCCCTCCTGCTCTTCCACCAGCCCCAACCGCCCCATCTGCCCTGCACTGGGACTGGGCTTCCCCATGGTGGCATCCCCAGCCTGTTTGGAGGCCGTGGGGACCTCAGGATTCCAAAGCCCAGCACCCTTTCGAGATCAGCATCCTTTTGTGCCCAGATGTGCGCAGCCCTCCACCAAAAATGATGGGGGTCCTGCAGATCCACAGCGAACCCCAGCCTGGCACCCACCCCTGAGACGCTCCATGCTCAGGCACCCTTCACAAGCTGGCCAAGCCGACCGCAAACACCAGGATGGAGGGATGGAGCTTATCTCGGGCTGGAGGAAGCCAAATGTACAGCAGCTTTAAGGGAAGAGGAAACCAGAGCTTCCTCCCGGGGGTCCGCACGGGTGTGAGAGCCGGCGCTGCAATTTCTGCAGCCGGACAAGCCGTTGTCTGCCCCCAGGGCTCGGGGCGACAACGGACA